ATCGCTGTTGCGACCTCCTTCGCTTTCAAAGGTTTCTTTAGCAGTCGAGCCTTCTCCGCTGCCGGTAGTTTCTTACCCTGCTTAGCTTCCTCTGTGGGAGTCATGGAGGATATTCCTCTGTGAGATGCAGCGTCGTTCCCTGCCAGCGGTTTGTTAACCTGTTCAACTTCTTGTACTACGGAGGTGACCAGAACTTCGTTCTTTATCGGCGGTTTCTTTCCTTGTTTAACTTCCTGTGAAGGAGTGACTGCAATTTTACTCCCACGCTTAGCTTCCTGTGAGGAAGCGATCGTAACTTCATCTTTCACCTGTGGCGCGTTCGTCTGTTCAACTTCGTGTACGGGAGTAACCGAACCCGTTTCTTTTATGGGAAGTTTCTTCCCCTTGTTAATTTCCTGTATGGAAGTGACAGTAACCTCTTCTTTTATTAGTGGTTTCTTCCCGTGTTTAACTTCCGGTATGGAAGTGACCAAGATGTCTTCCTTCACGAGTAGTACCTTCCCATGATTAACTTCCTGTACAGAAGCGACCTTGACATCGTCCTTTACCGGTGATTTTTTCTCCTGATTAACTTCCTGTACAGAAGCAACCGCATGCTCTTCATTTATTAACGCTTTATTCCCCTGTCCCGGAGCAATCGAGACTTCCTCCTTCGCAACCTCTTTCTTCTCCTGCTTAACCTCCCATACGGGAGCTACCTTAACCTCCGGCACGGCCTCCGGTGACCTTTCCCTGACATCGCCCGGCGACCCCGACGCGGGACGACTCGACCGATCTCGCGGCAAGGATTTCTCGTCGCTCGCGCCCGCGTCGTTGCAGGGCGGTGACCTCAAGGGGGTGCCGGCATCCGCGCTGCCGTGCGACGAGGCGCTGAGCCGCTGCTGCGCGTCGTCGGGCGAGTTCTCGCGAGACAGCTGCATCGTCACGCTCGATGTGAAGCGCCGCCGCTCCTCCTCCTCCTCCTGCGGCTGCGGATAGCTTCTTTTCTCGCCGCCGCGCCGTTCCTCCTCCACGCCGCCACGCGGCGGCTTCCTCTCCTCCTCGTCCCCGTCTTCCTCTTCGTCGACATGCAGAGCCTTCGTCGGCGAATCAGAAATGACGACGGTGCACTCGCCGTTCGTTGCCATGACAACGTCAAATTTGCATCTATCTTCAGCGGCCAGCTCCGAGGCACGATGTGGCAGATCGACGGAACTCATGCCGTTCTCGACGACGCATCCGTTCGGCGAAACGCGCCCGCCACGTTGTCTCGCCGACGCTCGCGTTTCCGCACCCGTCCCGACGTTCGCCTCCCCCGCGCCGCCAATCCCGGGGTACATCTTCCCGGCTTCCCCTCGCTGCATGTCGTCATCGACAGCACAGCTCCTCCTTCCCTCCTCCTCTTCCTCCTCCTCCTCGCCGCTGCTACAGATCGCCGTCTCTTTGATTTCCTCCTTCGCGGTGGCGGCAGAGTTGGCGCACGTCCCCGAGAGGGCGCCACCGAAATGCGCCATCGCCGCAAGGCAGTCGGCAGACGACGCGAGGTGATAGGCCGCATCATCGTCGTCGTCGTCGTCGCCGTCGTCGTCTTCGCTGACGATCGACACGGAGTCGCGGACGGAGTTTGAGTCGGCGTGGCTCGACGACTGCTCGGCCGCGCTCTGGAAGCTGCCCGACGACAGGCTGCTGACGCTGCCCGACGTCGACTGTGCCGCCGTCGCCGCGGCGACGAGCTCCGGGATGCGCAACGAGTTTGTCGTCGTTGCCGCGGTGACGGGCTTCGCGGCGAGCAAGACGGTGACGATGGGCAGCGCGTCGGGGAAGCTGTCGGAGTCTCGCGGCGCGACGTTGTCGAAGTATGTGATGGTGGCACTACCGTTGCTGCGTCTCGTCGTTGAGCCGACGGGGTCGCGAGGTGCGGGGTCGGCGGCGCGAGGCGGCGGCGCGCTGAGCGTCTCGACCGTCTCGGAGAAGTGACTCAGCGCCTCGATGAGTGGGTCGTCCTTCATCGAGTGCGGCATCTGCAGCTTGTGCGGCGCCGGAGGCTGCTGCGGCGGCGGCGTGCGTTGCTGCAGCGACGACCACGACGCGGACGACGACGTCGTCGCCGACAACGCCGGGGAGAGCGGGCGCGGGAGGCACGCCGTCGCGCGGCCGCGGCGGCTGTCGACGATGTGCAGAGCCTTGTGGGAGCTGGGCGAGGTCGGCAGCATGCTGGGAGATTTGAGCAGTTCCTCCTCAGGGTAGAGCTTCGGCGGGACCGGGGGCGGTGACTCGCTCGTCTGGCTACAGCGGCGGAACTCCGCCTGCCAGAACTCTGCAACAACGCAGCGGGAATATCGCGTTAGTCACCACTGCAGTACACTGTAGTGGAGATGCCACTCGTTCGGGAAAATTCCCAG